CCCCACCCCCCTCCCCTCGGGCACGCGTTGTCTCGTTAGCCCGTTGTGCGCGGCGCCGCAAGCAAGCTGCGGCCCCGTGTTGGCAGGGCGCCTGCGAATGGGCAGGTAGGCCACCCGCCGGCACCACTGTTGGGCGGCCGGCCTACGCGCGCCGTGACCCGCCTCGCTGGAGCCCCGCTGGAGCCCCGCTGGAGCGTGTTGGCGGCTGTGCGTTTACAAAGCCCATGCGCTTTCTCATTTCGAATGACATCTATCTACCTGTGCTCCTCTTTCCAAAACCGCACTTTTGCTTTGAAAACGGCGCAGGTCCTCCCCGAGGGATGAAGGATGAGTGCAGAAGTGCATCAAAGACCGCCGGCATGGCATTTGGCAAAGCTGGCCCGCTGGGCCCTGGTCAACGGAGTCAAGGGGGGGACGGGCTCGGTGCCCTTTAATATTAGACGAGTTTCTCCTTCCTGCTGACCTTGTCGGAGCAATGAGCGAATGACAATATTGATACTGCCGCTCCTCCATATTTTAGCGCAAGCTTCTTTCAGCGCCGCGCGGCCCCGGGCCTCAAAGACGGTCGAGCCCCCCGTGGTGCACCTGTTCCTCTCCGTTGCTGATCCCGCGCCCTTTTTCGGAAAATCCCATAGCGTTTTGCCAAATTTTGCGGTAAAAGCGTCGAAAATAATCAAAATCTATTTATTTTCTTAAAAGTTATTTACCAACGACAGTGTCCCGTATCTCTGTCGCCACGTGATCTGGTCTTGCTTTGTGCGCGGTGCGCGGTGAGGCCCGGGAGCTCATGTTATCGGCGCTGCAGAGCCGTAGGGTTTGAGCTCAGCTGCGCTCGGGCTGCTCCTGCGTGACCTTGCCGCGCAGACCGGCGCAGACCGGCGCAGCCCCGTGGAGTAAGGTTTCACCCCCCGCCCCTGTATTATAAGAGCAGCCCTTGTGTCGCTCGGGGGCTCTCCAGCCACCGGCGCAGAGGCAGGCGGAGGGATGCTTGCGTAACGGGGAAACCGCGCGTTTGACGCAATCGGCCAGTCCAGTTTGTGGAAGGGTCTATGTCGTGACATTTCCTTTGTTTCTTACTCGTTTCTTTACCAACAACACCACATCTACTTTCCGTGTTGGACAGAAACGAGAGTGGTCCGGAGAATTGTTATCAGTGCCTTGTTTTGATTTGTTTCCTGTTTTTCGGTTGTAGTGTGTGGTTTGTTAAACGTGTTGGAGGCCTCTGTGGAATGTTGTCCCTGTGCTGTGAAAAATATTTTCCGCAAATTTACAACAGTTTTAAATTTTATTTACCAAATATGTTGTAAATTTGCGACAGCCCATTATTGCTTGTCGCTGAATTTCAAGTCAATTCAAAGTGCTTTTAAATTTCAAATTGTAAATTTACGACACACATAGTGGAAAATTTCCCCGTAAACTTCCGACTATTTTTCAATGTGGTCAGTTAAAGTTTCAAGTGCCTTAATTAGAGAAGAGAGCCTACGTTCTGAACAACCTAAAATAATTTAAGCTTGAACAAAAGTGGGACAACGCCTGTTCTAACGACACACACTTCGACCTGCCCTTCTGTTTGTGGCGGTGTCACTGTCACTTCGTCTGATCCTCGCTGATGAGTGCCGTATTGCTCTGTGTGTCCGCAGGACCCGACAGCCCCAACAGCGTCATGGCGAACGGCCAGTTCCCCAAGCTGGAGGTGCCTCCGGGCCGCACGCACCTCGAGGACCTGCCCAACGAGATCTCCGCGCCCTACGAGGTGCCGCAGTTCCCCATCGAGCAGATCGAGACGAGGCTGGCCATGCAGAGACAGCTGTCAGTGTGGTGAATACTTCCTGCATGCTGCTGGTGCATGCCGCGCCTGTAGGCGAGCCTGTGTAGGACGGGACAGTATCGGTAGTGTGGAGGTAGCTCACCGCCATATCGCAGGGCAGGGGGCGCGGGGCGGGGGGCGGGGCGGGCGCGGATCTGCCGCGATCGGCGTGCCCCTCCCACTAGGGTGACGACACGTTTTCGGTGGTTATCAACATCCACCGCGCTACCCGCGCTGCCGTCACGGCCCCAGAGCTGTCAAACTGTAGTGGCCCTGTTTGAGACATAAAAAAATGAAGTGTCCTGTATGCTTCATTGGAAATGTACGATAAAGTATGCTTGTGTAAAACCTGTGCAGCGTTTCCGAATAGTTTACGTTCCGTACTTTTTATTCATGTTTGTTAAGTAAACTTCAAAACTATATGCCAAAAATTTCGAACATTTCATCACGCATAGTCATCCGTGCATTTCTAATGTACGTAACAAAGTACATTTACATAGTCAGTGTTTGTTTACGCATACAATCGCTCGCTTCCAAAGCTTAAATCTCATCGTGCTTCGCTTTATCGGAGAAATGGATGGTCTTCTTACCTAACGCGTTTGCCCTCCCTGCCCCCCTCTCATTTTCTTCGCCACCATGGGCCCTGGCCCTCTAACAGCATAGGCTGTGGCACTTAACCGCACTATGCGCATGTGTGTGTTCTCAAAGAAAACTCTGTGATTCATAGTTTGTCTTGTAACCTAAGATGATTTTTTTTGGTCCTTATTTCCTTTTTGCTTGTGTTGAACTGAAATGTGGTAATCAAACACAGCTGCTGTTAAATGTGTGCGTGCATGTGCCATCCGCGGCGCCGTTCCAAAGTAGTCGTGAGAGCAAGTGCTCTGTGTTTCTCCCGCACCCTCTCCCCTCTCTTCCCCGGCCTCGCGGCGCTATTTCTGCCGTGACCGCACGAGGGCGCCGACCTTCGGGGAACGTGACCAGGAGGGCGTTAAATGTGCCCCTCTTTGCGGGCCGCGCGCCGGGCCGCCTGGTGGTGCGGCTCGACCCATGGGCTCGGCCCGGACGGGAGGGACGAGGGACGGTCGTGGAAGACTACATTGTCGATGTCGTGGGCGTGTGTGTGTGTGTTGTGGTTGGCGGGGCTCGGCGGGGCCGGGCAGGGCTCTTCACGCGATAAGACGGAAATATCTCGCACTCGGCGGCGACCGGAACGTGCAGCAGACGGCGCGCGAACATGTGCGCCGTGCACCCGGGGCCGACACCCCTCCCCCCCC